CACCTGAAAAGAATATATATTCTGCAGCTAGTGGTTACTGAGTTTTACACGTCTATCACATCAAATATGCTAAGCATGTTGTTTGTTTCATATCCTCAGTCTTCTTTCTTCTACTAGTGTTAAAAACCTCCAATATCACTGTGGCATGTCTATAACTGTTTACATTATAGAATTAGAATTGATGTTATGAGGAGGAAACATTTAGGACTGTTCCATTTTCTTGAAGTACTAAATTTTGTTTTATAATGAAATGTTCCTTTCCTTCTCTACCTGATGGGTTTTGACTTAAATTCTACTCTAATATTAATATAGCTATAACAGGTTTCATTTGGTTCATGTTGGCACAGAGTATCATTTTCATCATTTTATTGTTACCTTCAATGATTAGGTTTTTTTGAAATATGACAATTTTATTGTTATTGTTGTTTATACTCTTTGTCCAATAACTGTTGTATTCAATTCATTTACATTTTTGTAAATAGGAAATCTACGCTTACTTGCCTTTTAGCCTCCTTCTTACAAGGTCTATTTTCTCTTACCTTCTAATTGTTTCATTTTTCCTTATTTGCTTGCTAATTATATATTCTCTTTGCTACTATTTTAGTGATTACAGCAGGTATTCTTGTCAAAATATAATATGAATTAGAACTTTACTGTTTCTCAAACAATGAAAGCACACTTAGAAGACTTTAATTCCTTTATCCCTGCCCCAACTTTTGTGCTGTTATTTTGGTGTATTTTATTTTTTACATATATCGTAAAACCCACCAGATAGTATACTATTTTTGTACAGTCAATGATCTTTATTTTTATCCCTTCCGTTGCTCTTCATGTCTTCCTGCAATTCCATAGTTCCATTCAAAATAATTTCCTTAGGGTGAAGAAATAATTTCCTTTAATAGGGGTTTTAGTGTAGGTCTGCTGCTGATGAACTCTCTCCATATTAGTCTGCTTGAAAATACCTTAATTTTTCCTTCTCTTTGACAAATATGTATAGCCTTCTAAATTGGCAATGATTTTTCTTTAAGCACTACCCATCATCTTCTACCTTTGGGTGTTTCTATTGAAAACTCAACTGTTATTTTTTTTTCTTTATTCTGTAAAGACAACACATCTTCTTTTTCTCTGGCTACTGTATTTAATATTTTCTCATCTTTGGTTTTCAGCTGTTTTCCTATGAAATGTATATATAGTATGGTTTTCTTAATATTTATTCTGCTTTAGATTCCAAGTGCTTCAATTTGTGGGTTGATATCTTTCCTTAGCTTTGTAAAATTCTTGTCAATTATCTCTCAAAATATTGATTTGCTCTATTATTGCTCTCTTGCTCTCTCACCTCTCATTTTGGAATACATTACACATTAGAATTTTATGTCCCATTTATTTCTTAAAAAAAATTATTTCCTTCCTTTTCTTTCTGTTTCAGTCTGAACAGTTACTTCTGAACGTTCTTTCAGTTTCCTAACTCTCTTCAGCTGTAACTTATTATAAGTTTAGTCTTATAATTTTCATTTCACTCTTTCTAAAAACATCAGTTCTTTGCTATAATTTTCCATCTTCTCCCTTAATTCCTTGAACATTTTAATCCCATTTATTTAAAGTCCACTCTAATAGCCTGAATTTGATCTTGTATTGTTTCTATTGTCTTTTTTTCTCTTAATATCTGGACAGTCGCTATCTTTTGTGTGTGTGTGTGTGTGTGTGTGTGTGTGTGTGTGTGTAAGCTGGGTTTATTTTTATTGAATGCCAGACAATGTGTATGACAATTTTTAGAGACAGTGAAAGTCTCTATATATTATTTTCCTTCAGAGAAAGCTTACTTTTGCTTCTTGAAGCCTGCTACAGTAACGGAAGATTATCTTAACCTAATCACAAATCAAAATTTTCAAAACTGGGCTTAAGTCCCTGTGAATATTTGGTGTATTTCTGAGTCAGACTTACTCCCTCACAACCATGGGTTCTGAAATCAAAGCCGCAGGTATTTCTCAAGATCCCTTCTCTTTCATGGCCGCAGAAGGGCCCTGAATTCTAATTTTGGTCCCCACAGAGCCACGAAACTGCCAAAAACTGTTTATTTTCTCAGCTGTCACGATCCAGTGATAGTTTTGGATTCTCTGCTACTTTTGAATCAAGGGTTTTAAACAACCCCTTTATTTCCTACCTCAATCTCCCAAAGAATAATACACATTGTAGGGCTCAGAATTATTCAAATGATTAAATAATTCCACCTGAATTCCCTTCTAACCTGAGTGTAGTAACTTTATGACTCAAAATTCAGAAGCAACAAAGGAAAAGACAGATTAATTTAACTACATAAAATGTTAAAACTATATATCCAAAAACACTACAAAAGAAGTGAAAAGACAATTGATAAACTGAGTAAAAATATATTTGCAAGATCTACCTCATTCAAAATTAGAAAAATGTAAATGAAAACTACACAAAGATAGACTTTCTAATCTACGATGTTGGCAAAAAATAAAAAGTATGAAATACATCCTGTCAGCAAGAGAGTAAGAAAACAAACACTCCCATGCATTGCCAGTGAATGCAAATTGGTACAACCCTTTTGGGAATTTGGCAATAGATTATGTAACAAAATTACACATCCATTTACCTTTTGAGTCAGCAACCCTATGTAATAGAATTTACCTTGAAAATACACAACAAATAGTACATATATTCATATACAGCAATGTTTGTAATGGTAAAATATTGGCGTATTCAGCTGAAAAAAGCTCCTTGAAAGCACATAATTTACTGGATATACTGCAGCTAAGTGAAAAAAGCAAACTGCAATTAGGAAATATACAAGTGAGCCAAAGAAACACAAATAAACACAAGAATCTAATAGGTTGATTATTTACAGGGGGTAAAGAGGAACAGGATGGGAAATATGGGGGGCATGAGAATGTAGGGTAGGAGGGTTGGGGAGTGGAAGTGAATCTCCTCTGAGTATACCTTTTCGCAGTTTTGTCTTTTTGAGCCATGTTAGATTTCACATACTCAAAACAAACAAATATTGCATGTTGAACTCTAGTTATTGTTTGTTTTTTGCAATGGTACAGGTTAGCAATTCTTAAAATACTTAATGTATATTCTAAAAGTAAGCAAATAAACTATATGCTGGAAAACGGGGTCCAGGATTTTCACTGACCAAAAAAGTGAGTTATAAAATACAGAAAGTGGGAGGCCAGAATGAAACATGTATTGTATTGTCAGATTGTAATTGGCAATATCAGTATGGATGTGTGGCTTTTACTATCAATAAATAGGGGTGTGCGTGTGTGTGTGTGTGTACACGTAAATATATTCACATTATTTCTTTGCTCTGTCCACAGAGGGAGTCGAGAACCAAAGAAACCACAGCAGCAATGAACACATCTGATGCCAACATTTCGGTTTTCAAACACCCATCTCTATTGAAAAGAACAAGGTTCCTTGGAGGACTGTTGATTCCAAGACTGCAGATGGGAAAGTACAAAATGAGCTGAGACCATCTTGCTGGAAAATAAGGAGATACTTAAAAAATGTAGGGGACACATCCGTAGGACACAGGAGCCTGCTTGAAGGGGCAAACACTGTCTAAACCTGGGACAATTTTGGCATCAAAGTAAGGAATAAGAATAATAAATTATAGGAATTAAAATAAAGAATTCATTAATCCATACTGATATATTTTAAAATGCAAAAAAAAAAAGAACGGAATAAAGAAGACTCTTTCTTATATTAGAATGCCAACTAATAAATTTAAATAGAATAATGAAATTAGAATATCACCATTTGGCAACTACCATGATAACTGTATCAAAGGAAAGAATCATCAGTGGATATTAAATGAGGGAGAAAAAGTTTGATGACAAACAGGATATTTACATATTGGCAAAGTATCTCCCAAAAGATACCTAACAACAAAGGGAAAAAGAGTAACTTAACAATGCAGAACCTAGCAGACACCACCTTAAACAAGTGATCAAAATTTACTCCATCAATTAATTTAGGAAGTAGATATCACGAGCCTCCTGAGAGAATGCCCTAAAGACACACAATCACTGCCGTAGTATTTGTCAAAAATGTAAATTTGACCTAATCTTGAGAAAACATTAGACAATATATTAGACACACACAGATCTACATATATACATATATACACACATACATATACATTACATATAACTTATATGTAATTGTATACAATGTATTATATAAGTGTGTATGTGTATGTATAATGATAAAGCAAATGTAAAATATTACTATTTGGTGAATCTGCAGGAAAAACATACTAGGATTATTGTTTGCACTATTTTTCAATCTTTTCTGTAAGTCTCAACTTATTTGAAAATTAATAAGGAAAAATGTATAAAGAATCCCACCTGCAAACAGGAGGATATGAACTGTTAACCTACTACCTGCTTATTTGGGAAAGGCCAACTCAAATAGTCCTTCAAGCTCTGTACTGAGCAACTCCAGAGAATGAAATTTCTACCTGTGCAATGTGGCAGTCTTGTGGATAGGAGTAAAGGAATGATATAACCATGATGGCCTACCTTTGATTTGTTGTCCTGAAATTTCCATACAGTACAAAAAGAAAATTATGAACACATGATCTCAACTATATTAAAGATACATACAGAGAAGGAAATAATGTAAACATACATAATGACTACATCTGGGTGTAAAATAGAGTAATGTTTTCTTACCCTGTCTTCTAAAATTAGAACATATCCTTCATAAGGAAGAAACATTTGGGGTAGGTATTTTATAAGAAAATAATCAATGGTAGTAAATACTGATGAGTCACTGCTGGATTTAGAAATCAGTAAGACATTGATTTTTGCGATGCAACCAGCTGACTGGTCAAATGCATGAAACAGTCAGGATATACAATGGAAAGAATACTGATCTTGGAATCAAAGATCTAAGGTCAAATTAGCCATGATGATTTAGCTGTGTGACTCCAAGTAAGTCACTTAATCTCTTCTTAAAAAAGAACGTATTACCTGTTTTGTTTTCTAACAAAGTTGTTCTGTGAATGATGCATGATAATGTATCTGAAAGAAAGTGCAAAAAGGTAATACTTCAATCAAATGGTAAATACTAATTGGACTTAAAAATAAATAAAAAGTAAAGAAATGTAGGCAATAAATAGTCCTGAAACTTCTTTTACATTTGGTATATTAATTTCTCAGATCTACACATGAACATAAAACACAAAATATCCATTTATGAAAGTTGCTGCTTTTTCCCTTCTTGCCTGTCAATGTAACTTCTTAAATTAGTCCCTCTTTTTACATTATTTCTCATTAAAAAATTTTTTTAATCACATTATAGATGATCCACTTGTTCTATAGCAGCCTCCATATCTCAAATAAGTCATCACAACCAAAACTAAGGCAGATCATTGTGATTAAAAGTATGGGTTCTGCAGTTCCAATACCTGAGTTCAAATTCCAGCTTTGCCATTTTTTAGCTATTTCACCTACTGAAGTGAGCTGATCTTTCCCTGCTTTTTTCCTCACCTGTACAACAAACAAGTTATTAACTCATTCACAGGATTTTTGTTGAGGATGAAACACAATTATAAAACTCTTAGAATCATTTCTGGCTTAGTGTAATACTGAATAATTATGAACAAGTATTTATTATGATGATGTTTACTATAAAAGACAGGTGTCTGGCAAACAATTAATAACCACTTAATAACCAAAACAAGGTTTATTCTCACTAAATGTCTATTTGTTATATAAAATACTACTCATTCTTCAAGACAAAACTCAAATGTCTCTTCTTCTTGACATCTCTCAAGTTCTCACGTTCTATCGTCACAGCATTCATTACCTGCGTTATAAATTGGCATTTCTTTATGGATTGCACCATGCTATTTATTTATGTGTATTATATCCCTTACTCCATTGCTCCTTAAGGTCCAGAAATGGAGTCCTTAACTTTACACTCTAGTAGAGCCCAATACCGCAGGTGCACATTTTAAGATGTATACACATTTTAAGAGATGTTATCTATGCTCAAGCCGTAATCAGAAGTGTCTGGATGCTGATGGTAACCACTCTGAGCACCTCTTGTAATTGCAGAAGTCCAATGTGACTTGTATTCATCTTTTGTTGTCAATATTTATTATTACAATTAATACAGTTTTTCCTTTCTTAAAATGTGTATACATATTTTTGGCACCCTCTGTATATCCTATACATAGTCAGTGACCATTAGTGTTCAGCTTAAACAATTTAATTTCTGGCTCTCTTGTTTTTGACATTGGTATAAATGTGAGCAATGTGCGTATAAACAGATTCACTGACTATGTAGATACTGGACATGATTATAGTTTATACTGAACTTATACAGGAAGAATCATAAATAGATCCAATAATTTTTTAAAAAATCAATTTTAATAAAAATTACCACGTTCAACATAGCAAAACCACAACAACCCTTGAGATGTCTAACATGTCTAATGATCTCACAGGAAAGGAATAGAGGAATTACAAAAGAAAGAAGTTTCAGAAGTCACCTGAGAGAAAAAAAAAAAACTTCAAGTCAATTGCAGATGTACTGGTTTTCAAAACACAAACCTACTCAAGGTACTAGCTATTGAAAATCTGTTATCTTCAAAGGGCAATTTACATTACATAATAGGTTCTTATGAAACTTTATGGCTTCTATTTTTGTGTTTTGTGCTTTTTTTAGACTTTGAAATGCCAGTTTTTGACTTGGAGGTCTAGGTGATCCAGAAGCAGTATGATAAAGATTATTTCAAAAAGCATTTGCTACTATCTTGTTATTCCGCTAGCCAAAAAGATTTCACCTTTTAATTACCTATTATTAAATTATATGGACTTCTGGTGTTTTTAGTATTGCTTTCTTCAATTGTATTTTCTAAGAAGCCACTAGAGATAAGTGTAACTGATACTAGAAGACACATCTGGAACTTTCAAAATCAGTTTCTGTACCAATCCCGCCCAGGTTGTTTTAATGTAAACACTTGCACCCTTTGGTTAACAATTAAGTGAAGTATAATTTCATCCTTCCATTTTAATCTTCACAACAACTTATGAAGTAGAACTTTTTAACACGATTTTATGGATGATGGAACTAAGGTACAGTTGGTAACTATCCAAATAATTGAGTAGCAAGCCTGTCTGAGGTTAAGCAACTAGCAAGGGGGCTAGGCCAATCTGGCTCTAAAACGCCTATTCCACCTTCCTGTAACACAGCTGTTCTCAACCTTCCTAATGCCCCGACCCCTTAATACAGTTCCTCATGTTGTGGTGACCCCCAACCATAAAATTATTTTCGTTGCTACTCTATAACTGTAATTTTGCTACTGTTGTGAATCATAATGTAAATATCTTTTTGTTTTCCGATGGCCTTAGGCGACCCCTGTGAAAGGGTTTGTTCGACCCTCAAAGGGGTCATGACCCACAGGTTGAGAACAGCTGCAACACATTAGACATGTCAAGTTTAAAGAATATAACACTGTCATTTTTGTGACACAGATAAAACTGCTGACATGATAAAACATGTGGTCATGTTTTCATTTAAACATTATGGACTCAGTAAACTATGATTACCTTTTACCTACTCATAAATTGTAGCCCAAATTTAATCTCAACACAGCTTATTTTCTGATCATACACTTAACTATTCATCATGTGACTGTTATTCGTGGAGCCTGAAAATCCTAAGATTCACTGCGCTGCACCTTTTTTTCAGGGTTTACATATAGCTTGATATGAATGGATTAACATATTATGAAAATGACTTGCAAACAATGTGACTTAATATCGAAACTTAAGTTTTATTTTGTATTTCTTTCAAACTATTATCTAAAATACGTTAACAACCCATTCCAGTCCTATTTGTCTTTATTAGCCACCGTTTAAAAAAACAAAAGACACTTCTACATTTTCTTTTAAACAGTTATCCGTAAGGTCTTGCCATAAAACCAAAACCTATCGTTACAGCCTGAATTTCAATTTGCTCCTGTGGACAACGGAGAAAGACTAGTCCACCACCGCTGCACCGAGACTCAGCCAAAGGGCAGGCTACGGTGACAGTGCCGCACAAGTTAACAGGTGAACGGAAAAACCACCTCTGCGGGGCCTCGCGTCCCTGCTCTCCTCCCGCGACGCCCCACGGCACCGGGAGGCCGGCGCCCCGAGCCGGGTAGGCCGCGATCGCCTCCCCCTCCGCTCAGGCCCAGCAGCAGCCTGGGTTTAAGGCCACGAGAGTTGAAAGGCTTCCGCCACTCCCGGAATTCCCGAAGTGCGCGGGAGAGAAGCAAGAAACCGGGGCGACCGCAGGTTCCGCTCCAAAGCGGCGGCGACAAGGCCGGCGGCGCTGGGATGAAGCAGGACACAAGGCAACAACACTAACCCAGACCAAAATGAGAGCGAGAGGGCCGGAGAGAGGCGGCCCGACCCCCGGCCTCGCAGCTCGCCGCCTTCCGCCGCCGGCCGGAGGGGCGCAGGGTCAAAGGCCGTCGGCAGGGGAGCGGCGAGCAGATTGGCTGGCGGAGGAGCGCCCCGGCGCTGGAGGGGGCCCCGAGCCCGCCCCAACCGCGTCGGCGGGGCCGACACCCTCAGTGTACTCACCAGGGTCTGGGAATCCGGCCACCGGCAGGGACTCCGCCGCCAGAGCTGTTGAGGGTGGACGTGCAAAGAGCGAGCAACCAAGGCCTCCGGCTGCAAGCTCAACCTGCCGCGCCTCCCAAAAGACGAGCGCGGAGAGTTCCGGGAGCCCCGAGGGGCGGGGCGTACTGGGTGGGCGGGGCTCTGGTTCCACCGGCGCTGGCCCCTCGGGTCTTTGAGGGTTGGGAAGAGAGTGGATGAGAGAGGGAAGAGCTTTTCAGGCTGTCCTGTATTAGTAGAGAAAACGAGCAGAGTTGGTTTGGATTCCCATCCTCTTTCTCCAAGGAGAGGTGAGCTGCCGCTCTCTTAGAAACTGTTCGTCTCTATGGTTAGCTCTCACTAATAGCGCTCACTAGTAAAGGACAGCTGTTTTTGATAGCAGGCCTTCAAAAGTTGCATCTAACTCGAGTACCCTTGTTTTCAAACTTTTCAAATTGAGGAACTATTTTGCCTCTAAAAAAAAAAATGAAAATTTACTTGGAAGACCGAAAGGAGACATGTAAAGGTGGCATTTTTAATTTGCAAATGTATTATGTAAAATCATCTTTATACTGGAATACTTATACAAATAATTGAGAACAATGAGGCAGGTGTGAAAAACAAGCACTTTTGAAATATCGGTTACAGTTGAAGGTTTCCAGCTTGCATCATCCTCAGAAGCCAAGAGAATTCTCTATTTTGTTTGGTTACATAGTAACAAGGAAATCCTGACATAGTCTAGAACTTGCTATGCAATTTAGGGCTCTCCTTAAAATCTCACTGAATTTTTTAAACAAATTTTAATTGTGAAATGTACATATATAAATGTATCTCATATTTGCATGTTTTAAAGAATACTAGTAAAAGGAATATCCAGGTATCACTACAGAGCTGAAGAAAAAAACAGTATTTTTGAAGCCTTCTAGGAAGATACTCTCCTAAAGTGTCTCTTTCCCTCCCACCCAGAAATGACCATTATGCCGAATTTTATATTACTCATTTTCTTTCTTTTTTTGAAAATAGTTATATATGTCTGATTACACAAAAATATAGTTGACTTGGTGTTGTATTTTATATCATGAATCACACTGCATTTTTTTCCCCTCTAACTTCTTGTTTCACTACACATTTAGGTTTTGAGATTCAGCTATGCATAAATCCATTTCACATGGACTGGGCTGGCACATCATACCCATAACACCTGCTATTGTTAGATGTAAAAATTTTGCCTGGGAATAGCATCTTTTAATTTGCACTTTCCTCCTTGCTAATGGGGTTGTGCATCTTTATATATGCTTGGTGGCTATTTGTGTATCTGTGAAATGCCTGTTCTCAATTATAGGCTAATTTTTAATTGGCTTCTTTGCTTTTGAAAATTAATTTGTACATAATCTTTATGTACATATTTATTTTTAAAATGTAAATACTCTTATCAAATTCTTGTTGAGAGCTTCCTAACACATTAAACTAACAGTAGCCTTTAGTTTCTCCTAATTACCGTTTATTATTATAATAGTCTCTACCCCACAAGATCCTTGGGATTGATCTTGCTACTAGAAAAGCAGCACCCATTTCTTTTTTGGCATTAGCAATAAAGATCCTTCTCCTTATATCCCAGGCCTATGCAAACTTTTATACATACAGCCCTCCTTTTCCCTGTCTCCATTTCAATAAACCACAGACACATACAGCATCCTATGCTATCTAGGATTAGCTTTAGTTGCATAAAACAGAACACACAAATAACAGTTGTGTTAATAAGACAAAATTTTGCTCCTCTCTTCTGTAAAAGGAGTCCCGAGCTCATACCGTGACTCAACAGTTATAATTGATCCAGACTCCCTTTTTTTCATTATATTTATTTATTTATTTGGCTCCATCATCTTTATTGCTGGCTTCCATCCTCACTCAATATTCTGGCTTTTAGCCACACATCTGTCTTATAGTTAAAGATGGCTGTTATGCTCTAGACATCTTGTCTGAGTCCCAGTCAGGATGTCGAAAGAAGGTGGTAGCAGGGAATATTGGAAGGGGCAAGGATGGCTCCTCCTGATACTTGTTAAAGGAGTTATCTGGACGTAACATTCAGCAATTTATGCTTTCATGTGATTGAATGTAATTGAGTCACTTAACCATATCCAGCTGCAAGGGAGTCTTAGAAATGTGGCCTTTTATCTGGGCTCACCACTCTACCCACCTAAATAAAATCAGAGCTCTGTTACCAAGAAAGGAGGAAAGAATGGATATTGGATAGGCAATGAACAAGACTTACCTCAGCAGAGAATAGTTTAGAGAAAGAGAAGGAAATAGACCTTACCAAGATATTGGGTCCAATCCAAGATCCTGGAATACATACTGCTCATCACCTTGTAGGTTGGTTCCCCTATGGGGTGTTCCTGTGTTTAGAAAGGTAATGAAAGAGTATAAAGGCCTTGCTATGGAATTGACAGCTTCTTACAATAGTCCCATAGATCAGTCTTCCAGTTTCCAATATAAACGGCAGAGGGTGGTAGAGTGTAGGTTCTAAATATAGGTCTTTAGATGTTCAGAAGAGTAAAAAGGAAACGCTCAGTGGATGTCTTCTCCCAATGCCAGTTATAAGCCATCATGTTCCTTAATACTATTTTGTGGGAGAGCACATCAAATTGTACTCCTGATACTAGCACTAGGGGCAGTGGATATTCTTTTGCTTAAACTATATTTGACGCTGATAGGTACCAAGACCAATGGAGTTTCAATAAAAAGCATATAATTAAAGGTACTCCTATAGTGCTCCACTAATATGCTCCATGTGCCCGTTCCTCTTTAAGAGTAATAGGTAGGTAGAAGGAGAAATAAAAGGCCTTAAATTGTTTCCTCAAAACCAAGTGTACAATTGACACCTCCAGCCTGTGACCAGGTGCCATGGTACCTCTGCCCCTCCACTATGTCTGGAGTCTGGAATTTAGACAGATTAACCCCCTTCCTGGAGGTTTGAGCTGCAGAGGTTATACTCCCTGTGCTGGTATTGGCAAACCTGGCCATAGTACATGTATGGATTCTCTGCCCAGGGACATCCTTGCTCTGGAGCTGCCGTCGGGGAGCCCATGCCCCACTTAGCTCTCCCTGGTAGAGGTCTGCTATGTATAATAGATACTGATGGATTATGCCACCAGACCCTCTCAGAGTTCTTAGTTTAGACAGCCAAGTGAGTGTTGGTTCGACATAGTGCCTCCAATCGTTGTTCACATTTTGTCAAACAGAGAAAGTAATATTTTCATAAAACATTGAGCAAACAGCATGCTTGCTGTGAACATGACTATTCCAGACCTTATGTGGTTAATCCTAGGGTTAAGGAGATCAATATATTTGTTATACCTGTGACATATTAGTGGCATCCTAGAAGAGAAGCTCTTCCTAGCTAATTAATTTCACTTCACCACAACATACCACCATATGAAGACTGTTCAGGAAATTGAGGCTCCAGCAATTTTGCTGGTGGGGTGATAGATGTATGCCATTGTGGCCTGTAGACGGCTTGGGAAGCTATCCATCTGTGAGTGAGGAATAGGTTTGGACAATCTCCTTATCAGTGCTGTGTAAGTAAGCCCCTGTAAGTCTTACATGGACTACAATTATTGCTAAGCTCTGCATCCTGTAATTTTATTTTAGAGTCCAGTGCATATCTCTCTAGTTGTTTTCTTCTCTTATATTAATGAGGGATTTGGAAAAAGGTGAGACATCAGTGTCCTTTTGGACATGTGATACATTTTGTCATGTTTCTTTTCTGATTAACAAGTGAGTTTACACCACTTCATGCTTTAAACTCCCTATTCAATGTGATTACAGTCTCAAGAGGATTATTAAAATTGTAGCAACAGAATTTTAATACAAGCCTGTGTATTTTAGGAAGAAGGGTCTTGTGAGAGTCCAAGTTGATAAGTGTATAGGGACAGTTGGGTTGAGAGGTAGCTATTGTAGTAGGGCAGGCTTTGGTCTGCATGAGCCTTTCCACTCTCATATGTAGATTTTCACTTCCCTCTTTTCTGTACTATATTATTTCATGGTGAATGCATAAATCTATAATTAATGATAACTAACAAATAGGTATGTCGTCTTAAAATGGAGAATATTGATTGCCCTCAGGATGCACATGTACTTTCATTCTAGCATTATATGATATTGGAAATATTAAGAATTTCTATTTTTTTTAATGAATTTCTATTTCTATCAATTTTTGTTTTATTTTTCAATTAGAGTTGGCATTTTCAATTTTTAAAATTGATAAATTGGTGGCAATAATTAGCTCTACAGAGAGAGAGAGTTATCTAAATGATCAAATTAAAAGATGAAAGGAATTCGTACTCTGAAATCCCCTACTGCTCTGTAAAAGACTCTCCTTGACAGCATGGATTTTGCCCTTTTTGTATGTCCAGAGCCAACAAAAGTTGTGGACATATAACAAGAATTCAACGATTACTTTATTTGGGGGATAAAAGAATAAAAGACTAGGAGGTTACCTAGTCATTATTATTTAACCCTACTTCCTGATACGTATTGTTTGCTCCAGCCTTAGAACTGTCCTCACTGTGTGTCTCCTGAATGTTTCATGTCTTTTTCCCTCTCCATCCCTAGAAGTTTTATTCACATCTCCTAGACATATCTAGTCATTTTATAACTGTTAATAGTCCACTCACTTGAGATGTCTTCTCAGTTCCTGTCCATATCCTCTCCACTTGCATTAGGCAGAGGTCTTTTTTTGCAAACAACGGAAACTGTAGCTGGCAACTAAAACACAAATAAACTTTCTGTGAAAGGTGTAGGGTAGAGCGTGAAGGTGAAGGCTAGTATGTTAGGCAATAGCAATGGATAGGAACCCAGAGGGTGGGGCAATTGGAGCTCAGCTTCACGCAACAGTACAGGTTAGGGCACTGCTACTTTCAAGGTTGCATTAAATTCTCAATGTGCTTGATCCCACCATGAATAATTTTTTGTTTCAATTTTGCCCGCATTATTTGCCTCTTTTCTTCAAGATTCAAATTTTTGTTTCAAATAAACTGCTTGGCTAAGCCTACGTTATGTCTGTATCTCCTTAGCTTTCTTTTAAAAAGAGATTTTTATTAAAATATAGCTAACATACAATATTATGTTAGTTTCAGGTGTACA